CAGATCAAGAACCGTGACACAAAATCGAGTCCGAACTGTAGCAGCAGGGGCCCCCACGCGGGCGCATCTACATGTACCTGCAACACTAAAGTCATCCTTAATTGGATGAAAAACTGAAGACATCTTGGATATGATGTTATGGTTGGAGCATCAAATATGGACTTATTTCATCAAATCTAAATTCGATGAAAAAAAAGAGTAAACATTAGAGATGGTCTTAGAGCATTTCTAATCATTCACCAAACTTTTTTATTCAATTTGATTTTAAATTTGAGTAAAAAGTTTAGTTTAATATGAATTATTTCAATTTTTTCAGCAAAAAATTATCGAAATCTTTTAAAAATTACATTCTTATCTCAAATTTCACTTTTCATCAAATTTGATGGGGAAAATAAAAAAAAAATCATCTCTAATGTTTTATTTTTTAAAATTTTCAGATTTGATAAATTCCTAATTTGATTAAAAAAAAAATTTGACTCCCTTAATTTGATGAACATTTGATGAAAGCATTGGAGATGATTTTTAAACACTTTCAAATTTGATGAAATAAAAGGTGAAGGATTAAAGATGTTCTTATTGAATCTCATAAAAAAATATGAAAAATTGCATGTCAGTGAAACTTTTTCAAAATAATTAAAGATTTATAAATAAAAAAAAATTATAATTTCAATACGGATGTGAAATTTTATGATGGCTCGAATTGTATACAAAGTTAGCATATTATGATTGACCATTTCTAACATAAATATGGATATAACACGACCTAATAACACAAATATTAAACAGATCAAGTTATGATCAAATTTGTATATAGTTAACATAGATAACTAATTTAATAATACCCAATTATACATCTTAATATTATTTTTACTAATGAGTGACATCACATTTTTTAATAACTGGTCTAACTCCATCCAGTTGATTAAAATGTATGTAAAATAGAATTTTAAGACTAATAAAATAATTATTTTTGTTTTGATTATTCTACAATTTAGAGATAATATAACAAAAAATAATAGGGAAATTTTATTTACACACCATGAATCCTCTCAGTACACACCATTTAACTATTAAATTTATATGACAATAATACCTTCAAGTAAAATGACTATTAGGCCCTGTTTGTTTTAAGGTTAAATAGATCGGAGGGGATTCGGATGGAGGTGAGGTTATTTAGTATTGTGTTTGTTTGTAGAGTTAAGGAATGGATTAGGATGGAGGAGGTGATATAGATGGAGGTTGGAAGGGGGATTGAGATGGGGGTGGTGGAGATGGTATTAGAAAAATAGTGAGGGGATTAGAAATTTTTTTTATTTTTTTTATATTTTATATATTGGGAATTTTTTTTAAAAAAATATTAATGGTTAATTTTTTATATTTTTTTATTTGTTTTATTATTTTATATAAAAATAATTTAACAATTCCTACACTAACAACTATCATCAAAACAAACACAATTTTACTTAATCCCCTCACTATCAATCCCCTCACTATCAATCCCCTCACTAACAATCCCTTCACTATTAATTCCCTCACTATGAATCTCTTCCATTCTACCTCTGAAAACAAACGGGACCTTAACGACAATATGAGTACATATGTACTCATTCAAATAATTTACATATGAAGACACAAATCTCATTTTACACACCATCACCTATACACTATATCTTTTGGAACAAATCTCTCTTTCAACACTGTTCATCTTCACTGTTATAATATAACACACTATACTCATCATCTTCACCATTATAATCTTCACTATTATTTTTCAAACTCAAAGCATTATATTTGAAGATATAGGATTTTAAGAAAATTGAAATCAATTAATTTTGAAGATTTGCACACAATGAATGACACTCAGATTATTGATTTGAAACAATACAACAATGAAAATGTTAGTTTACTTTTTGTTTGTCTCGTTTGTATGGAAGATGGCTTATTCATTTGTCATGTATTCGGACAACCAAGGTTGAACATTTTAAAATGTTCAATTATTTATATTTGAACAAAATTATTTTGTTCAAATTATTAAGGTTGATCAAATATTAAATGTTCATACATAAAAAAAAATTGAACGGTTTGGTTGTGGAGTGTACCAATTTATTAGGGTTAAAAAGGGAAAGTTATGGTGTGAATTGAGATATTTTCACAATCTAAAAATTATTATGGATGTGTACTACGTAATGATGTATACTAAGAGGATCGATGATGTGTAAATAAAATTATCCAAAATAATAATAAGATTATAAGATACAATTTTTTTTAATAAATTAATAAAATTAAATTAAGTTGAAATTAACAGAAGCCCAAGCCTGAGCAATAAAGCCCACTATAAGCGGAAGCCCAAGCCCAAGAGAAAGACAATGACAAACCTACATGAAATCATACACACGTTATTTTAATTATTTATATATTTATATTTTATTTTTCTTTTAGATAGTTAAAATGCCCAAAGCGGAATATACCAACTCTGAAGAAACCACAGCAAAATCTCATTTGGAACCTCCTCCATACACACTCTCAAGCCAGAAAAACAACCAGTGATCACTAGCATGATGTATATATAAAGAGCATATAAGATATTAAATTTTTTTAACTATTTTCACATTATATTATCCTTTGTTTTTTTTTTTTTCTTCACAAGATAACAATTAGGAGGTTAGTATAGTTATATACTAGTCTCCTAATTTTATTTTTATAGTTATATGTGTTAAAATGTAATCTAATTTAAAAATTAAAGATCATTGCGTTTTATCAAAACATAAAAATGTAATTATTATATTAATTGGGCGAAAGTATAATTAGGGAGAAATGTGACAATGGCCGGAGTCCTCCTAATTAAGCCACCCAATAATGATAGAGACCCTCACAAATTACAATTTTCACAACCTTTAAAATGATCTAAATCATTCATGTCACTATCAGATATAACTCTTAAAAAAAATTCAAATATATAAATGGTCAACACATCAGTAGAGGTCATGGGTCATCTTTTGCAAGCACATTACTTGGGCTCATATTACTTGGGCTCATGTATATAAGGGGTTGGCGTAGCAAGCAAATGCAGCAAAAATATTAAGCCGAAGGAAGTACTGACAAGGAGAGGAGCCTCGGAGAAGATAGGCACTAAATAGTAGGATTCGATATTAAAATGAGTTTTATTATATTTTGAATTATTATAAATTATTTTATAAGTTATATTATCATTTTAAATATATTATTTGTGTAATAAACCTTATTTGTTTTAAAAAAAAAAGAAACTCATAAATAAAACTGTTTATATAATATGATTTTGATATTTGATGATATATTTTGTAATTATCACCACAGAGGTTCTATACTTTGGAAGACTTAAATAATCATTCACCTCTAATTTGTCACTTTATTAACTCTTTGTTTGTCATGTATTTATTGACCCTCTATTATGTTCAGTATTATGGTTATGATTATTTTGTTTATATGATTACTGAATTATATTTATGTTATTTAGAATAATTTATTCGTTCAAACTGAATTATTTATTGTTCAGTCTAAATAATTATCCATGGTGAATTTCATACCCTTATGCTTTTAATATAATATTTCTCACTCTGCTATGTACTTATAGCTGTTAAACCCTTTCAGGTAGGGCTGAGCAAGGAATCCGTGAAATCCGTAATCCGATCTAGTCCAGTCCAATCCGATAGGTTTAGATTGATTTTTTGAATCAGCGGTTCGGTTCCGGATTGAAGAATTAAAAATCCGTAGTTCACGGATTGGTTCCGGATTGAATCTCACGGTTCCGGATTAGAACCGATCCGGACCGTATACAAATAGTCTATATTGTTATTATACATCCTCCCCCATAGTATCTTCTCTTATTCTATGTAAAATCTAAACTCAAACCTAAAACCGTATAATATCTTCTTTTATTACTTTTGTTTGTTAGTTTTAAGTTTTTATTTGCAATGGTCTAAATACTTATGGTGAAACCAGTTTTCTTATGGTTGTTTAAATTCTAGAACAGTATGTCATTATTATAGAAAAACATGTTGCTATTATGGAACTAATATAGTGCTATATTTATATTTTTATAAAATTCAAGTGTTATATATATATATATATATTCTTGTTATTTAATTATGTGAATCCGTGGTCCTAAACCGATCCAATCCGTATTTAAATGGATTGGTTCGGATTGGTTCCATGATTTAAACGGATTGGATTGGTTCCAATTTTTCAGGAACCGTAAATAACGGATTGGTCCTGGTTTTACCGTAATCCGGTCCAATCCGGACCATGCTCACCCCTACTTTCAGGTAATGAAATTTAGGAAGCAGTTTTTACCCCATAAAGCAGGACCAAGGCTTGGAATAAACATAGTGTTTTTTTTTTATTATTTGTAATTATTATCTAGCTCTTATTAAATAAATAAAAACTCCAATGTACGTTTTAAATAAAATAAATATATATGTGTACCTTTTATTTTACTCCGCTTCGTTATTAATTTGTTTCATTTAAAAATTAATTATTGGTAACTTAGGAATCGACTAGTTGCGACATCTAATCCCTAGGTACCGGGGTTGGGTCGTAATTAAAGTGGTATTAGAATAATGATTTTAAAAAAAAAACAAAAAAATCATTCGAGCATTGGACACGCGTACAATTAAGAAGTAGGATGAGAAAAAAACCTTAGGTTGTTTGATACATTTGCAATTATGTGTGTAGTCTCTTATTTAGTTCCATAGTTTGGACATTTTATGGTGTAGGCAGGGATGGAACCAAGAATTCATTTGCGGGGGGCCAAGACATAAATAATTTTTTGTTTTTTATATGAATTGATATAAATTACTATTTTTTGAATTCCAAAAGTAAGCTAAAATTTAATATTAAATTAGTACGTAAAAAAAATCATATATTTGGTAAATTTAATATATGAATAAAAACAAAGTCATGTATTAAAAAATTATTTATACAAATCAACCCAATCATCTATCAAAGTGGAACTCGACATTCTTTCATATCTCAAAAGTCTTCAATGATTGACTCTGTGGTAAATTTTCAGCAATTTCTTTTTCAATGTACACAAGCAAAGAGTCTGTAAGAAATTTATCTTCCATTTTGTTACGAAGTCTATTTTTGACAATTTTCATGGCTGAAAATGATCGCTCTGTAGTTGCAGTAGAAACTAGAAGAGTAAGAACAAGTGTAATCACTCTACAAACAAATTGATAGATCTTAGATTTGTTTGTCCTTACCAACCACTGACACAATTCAAAAATAGTAGACAACTTTTTGTAATATGCATGTTGAACTACATTATGCTCATAATGGTGAAGTTGCATTCTCAACTGTATTTTCTCTTGATCTGTGAAGTCTTGCAGATAAAACTTTTCTACTAACCAACAAATATCGTTGATTCTAAAAGTTTCAGACACATCTCGAGGATCTAAAGTTGAGCTAAGATTAAGCAACTCTACTGCATGTTCACTGAACTGCACATTTAATTCATGTAGTTGAGAATCTATTGCAGCATAAAAAATATCTACTCGACAATAATGCTCAACTGTAAAGTCATCTTGATGATCACGAGCTCGACCTCTTCTCCTAATATAAGGAGCATTTATATTCAGGACATCTATGTTACGTACCTCACAAAATGATTTCATATTGGCTAGTAAAGCATCCCATTTGTCATCTCTAAACATTTGCAGAAACGCCTTGGTAGATGAAACTAGATTCATAGTATTTAAGATGTCTTGAGATCGGCATTGCAAAGCTTGACAAAGTAAATCAGTGATCTCCAACATTTATTTCATGAGATGCAAACTAAAGACAAATTCAAATGAAGTCAATGTTTCATAAGCTAAGTCTGCATCTCCTCGTTGGGCAGAAGTCACTCCTTCATTAATGATGTTGAGAGGAACTTCACATGTTGGATTGAATATTTTTATTAAGCTTGAAATTGACTTGAAGTGAGAACTCCAACAAGTATCTCTAGCTTGTTGTAAAGTGCTAATCTGGTTAAGTCCCTTTCCAGTGTCAAGCTCATCAATGTCAATCATATGTTTAATTTAAGCAGCTTGCGCAACTTTCAATTCATCATTGTGCTTGCATGAGGCACCAACAATATTGACAACAAAAGTCAATTTAGGAAAAAGTTTATGAGTTTGGATAACATCTTTCGATGTTGCCACTAAAGCCAATTGCAAACGATATGCAAAACAATGAATATAATAAGCATATGGACAATCATTCAAAACTAATGTTTGTAATCCTTTCCACTCACCTTACATATTGCTTGCACCATCGTATCCTTGTTCTCGGATATTCTGAATATCTAAATTGTGATGAGACAATACAAAAATATATTTCATCTTTTAGGGTTGATGCAACAGTGTTAGAGACATGAATAAGCCAAAAAAGAGGCTCTCTCACAAAACCATCTTTGTCAACGAATCTCAAAACTATAGCCATTTGCTCATTCTTTGACTCATCACGAGCTTCATCAACAATTATGCAATACTTTGCATCACTGATGTCTTCACGAATTGCATTCTTCACTTTGGTTGAAAAAATATGTAAATTTTTTTTTTGAATCTTTGGTGATTTGTAGAAGGCATTTTTCGGAGCTTTATCCAATACTTTAGCAACATTATTATTATATGACCCCAACAATTTCACTATTTGAAGAAAATTTCTACGATTGATTGAATTCGGCCTTTCATCACGACCTCTAAAAGCACAACCTTGAAATGCAAGCAATCGGATTGTATCAATTGAGACCTTCAATCTTAGTCGATTATCTACAATTTGTTCAGAAGTGAAATTGTCCAATACCTTTTGTATATTGACTCATCACGAGCTTCATCAACAATTATGCAATACTTTGCATCACTAATGTCTTCACGAATTGCATTCTTCACTTTGGTTGAAAAAATATGTAAATTTTTTTTTTTGAATCTTTGGTGATGTGTAGAAGTCATTTTTCGGAGCTTTATCCAATACTTTAGCAACATTATCATTATATGACCCCAACAATTTCACTATTTGAAGAAAATTTTTACGATTGATTGACTCTGGCCTTTCATCATGACCTCTAAAAGCACAACCTTGAAATGCAAGCAATTGGATTGTATCAATTGAGACCTTCAATCTTAGTCGATTATCTACAATTTGTTCAGAAGTGAAATTGTCCAATACCTTTTGTATATATTGAAATTGATTCATTAAGTCTTCACATGATCTCTTGGCAACATTGTGAAAAGAATTAGGATCTTTCACTATATGATTTAAAAAAACACATTTTGCTCCATCCCTAACTTTCTTGCAATTCTGAAATCCATCAACAGTGAATGCTTGTTGCCCATAATATCCAGATCCACATGGTTTATAAAAAAGAAAGCATGGTAAACAAAAAGCTGCATCTTTTGTAGGTGAATATTCCAACCATGACGGAAATAATTTGAACCATGATGATTGAAAGCTACGAAGATAAGTCGTTGATCCAGATTTTGGATACTTTGAAAGTATAGATTAGTATGGACTAGCCTTAATATAAGCTCGTCGAATTTCATCACATTGATTAACATAATAATCCCAAATCTGTATACGTAATCCAGCATCTCGCTCCAATGAACCAATATCAATTTCTTTAACATCAATTTTTTGAGGTTTTGTGGGAGGATTTTTAGGGATATCAACATTGGAAATTGGCAATGTTGTATTGCCAGCATTGACTTCTGAGGAACTTGCATTTTTTCTTTTAAAAAAATCTATCAGTTGTACATGACTTTTCTATAATAATTTACAAATCAAAATAGAATTCATTACATGCATGTTAATATTCTATTTAGAAGTTAGAACCAATTGCTAATGTAAAATATATATATATATATATCACAAGACATAGAAATTTTTTGTGCCCAGAATAACAAATGCAATTAAAACAAATTTCATATAAATTTAAAAAATTCAGAATTCAGATTCAACACATAAATTTTATACAAGTCTCAATTCATTTTAATTTTGAATTTATAACACTTAATCTGAATAAAATTGAATTTGCCTAAATATGATTAAAAAAAAAACCCTAGTAATTGAAATCATACATCTTAATTCATGATTTTTTTTCTTAATATGTAAAATTAAAAAAATTGCAATTGTATCAACATGACATCGAAAAAAAAGATAATAAAAGTATTACAAATTGAAAATAACAATAAAAGAGACTATGAATCACATACTTGTAATAATGAGAAGATTAATAGCAGAAGCAAGACTTTTTTTTTGTATGTTCCCCAAGTTGATTTGACTCCAAGAAAACCCTATGCTTTCAATAATAAGACGGCGTAGCAAGTCAAAGCAATTAGGTTTTTTTGTTTTCTTTCTTTTTTCTGTCTTTTTCTGTTTCTCTTCAGCTTTTTTTTTTTGGAAAAGAAGAGACCTGGCCCTGGGCCATCTAATAAATAGATGAGAGCCCACAAAACAAAGTAGGGGGGCCATTTTACTATATTATTGATACTTTGTTGAAATGATATATATATATTAGTAAAAAAAAAATTTTGAGCAGGGAGGTCGTAACCCCTAATAGCCCCCACGTCAGTCCGTCCCTGGGTGTAGAAAATGTCAGAGCTCAACTTTGTTGATTCATTATGGTATGGGCCTAAGCCATCAAATCTCGAGGAGATTTTTAGAGGGCACAACAGCTATGTCTCATACTTGCTAGAGGAATGGAGAGATTCATAAGACATAATTAGACGTTCACACCCGGTCCTTGACCGCCTTATGGGTAGATCTGTATACCTACGAGTAGGCCTAGTAGAGATGGACCTGCTGTAGTGGAGGACTGACAACAACAACACATTAGATAGATACCTCGAACCGACCAGAGTTGTGGGGCCTTGCCTTAGAGATGGGCTATCATTGCTTCTTGGTGGCACATTTACAATCAAAATTTATGGCAAAAAGAGAAAATGCATTCTCTAGAACATCATCAATGTCCAAACTATTGACTTTAGTGATTTTATGACATATGTAGAGGTGCCAGTGCGGATCACTCATACCCCCAAAACCGGCGTTCAATGATCTGCACTTGTGTCATGAAATCACTAAAGTCAATAGTTTAGACATTGATGATGTTTTATGGGCGAGGGGTACTGGTGCGTTTATTATCACAAGAGAATGCATTTTCTCTTCTTGCCATAAATTCTAGAGGTAAAGGTGTCACCAAAAAGTGAGGTGAGACGCACATTTGAGGTGAGACCCATAACTCTGGTTGGTCCAAGGTATCTATCTAACGTGATGTCGTTGTTAGTCCTCCACCATAACAGTTCTACCTTTGCTGGGTCTACCCATAGGTATACAGGCCTAGCCATAAATCAGTTAAGGGTCGGGTGTAAACGTCTAATTATGTCTTCTGAACCTCCCTATTCCTCTGGCAAGTATGGGACATAGCCATTATGCCTTACAAAAATATCCTTGAGATTTGATGGCTCAAGCCCATACCAGAATGAATCACCAAAGTTGAGTTTTGACATTTCCTATACCATAAGATGTCCAAACTGTGGAACTCATAAGAGACTACACACATAATGGCTAATGTGTCATCAAGTTCTCATCCTACTTAATTGTACTTGTGTCCTATACTTTAATGATTATTTTTAAACCATTACTCTAATATCACTTTTGTCATGACCCAACCCCAATACCCAAGGGGTGGATGTCGTAACTAGTCGATTCCTAAATTACCAAAGATTAATTCTAAATTAAATAAGTTAATAATGCAGTGGAGTAAAATAAAAGGTGCACATAAATATTTATTTTATTGAAAACGTATATTGAAAATTTTATTCATTTAATAATAGCCAGACAATAATCACAAATTAAAAAAACACTATGTTTATTGCAAGCCCTGATCCTACTTTATGGGGTAAAAACTCCTCCCTAAGTTTTATTACCTGAAAGGGTTTAACAACTATAAGCACATGGTAGAGTGAGAAATATTATACTAAGAACATAAGGGTATAAAAGTCACCATGGATAATTATTTAGGCTGAACAATGAATAATTCAGTTTGAACAAATAAATTTTTCTAGATAACAAAAATATAATTTAGCAATCGTATAAACAATATAATTATAACCACAGGTATAAAACATAATAGAGACGGCCAAGGGATCCATGACAAATAGAGAGTCACTAAAGTGACTAATCAGAGGCCAATGATTATTTAAGTTCTCTAAATATGGGACATCTATGGTGTTACTTACAAAATGCATCATCAAATATCAAAATCATATTACATAAACAGTTATATCTATAGGTTTCCTTTTTCAAACAAATAAAGTTCATTACATAAATAATATATTTCAAATGTTAATATAATTTATAAAGCATAATTTACATAAAATAATTTATAATAATTTAAAATATAACATAACTCACCTTAATATCAATTTTTACTATGTACTTCTTATCTTCTCTGATCTCTCCAAGGCTCCGCTCCTTGTTACTACTTCCTTTGATTTATTATTATCATTATTTTTTCTTTGATTCAACTGAAATAAAAGCATAGAGCAGTTAAATTATCCTTACAATTTAATAAAGTCAGTCCCTTACAAGACTTACTCCAGTCATGTCATTTATGACAAGAGATGTCACTTCTTCAGGAAGGTTTTCTAAGACTACCACATGATCATCCTGGGCTACTCCTAAATTTGCTAGTTTGTCAGCAACTTTGTTCCCCTCGTAAAAGGAGTGGCTAATGGAGCAATTACATCTCTTCAGGGGAAACTTTGTATCTTTATTG